AGAGTAAGGAAGATATGAGAATGTCAGGCAGGGAGAGGCCAGAGAGCTTTTGTAGGAAACCTCTGCAGAATCCTGGTGTTGCCCATCACTGACCTTTGACAATATTAAGTATTAACTCAATGGGCAAAAAGAGTTTTTGGGTTTTTTCTCCTTTTAAAAACCTGAGATGTAATCATTTCATAAAAGGCTTGGGCAGTTTCTAGGCAAATGGAAGGAATTGAGAGCTCCTTGTGTATATTCATTTTAATATTTAATCAGGACAAAAATTGAGAGTTTTAGAAACCCTAGTCTCTTACTAGTGAACTCTCTGAAATTTTAAAGAAATACATTTGAAATCACTCATATTGCCATAAAGTGATGGTCCTTCTGCACCCTTCTCCTGGTCCTCTCCACCTCTGTACACTTTGGTTCTGCTCTCTAGAGCTGCTTGAGTTGCTCTATGCACACCCAAAGGATTTTCTTCTGTTGGACTGAGGTGAATGAGTCCCCTGAAGCTGGACAACACAGCATTCCTGATGAAACATACACTTTTCTTGATAATACCCTCTACCCTCCTTTTTACTTCATTGGCCTTATTAAATTCATAAGTACCTAAACAATTCATTCAAAATTCAGCTTTCTGTCTTTTTTGCCTCTTTTATTACAATAGTGTAGTCCAAGCCACCCATGTCCTACCTGGACAACTATGATACACTCCTAACTAGTTTTTCTGACTCCGTTTTTCCCCTACAGTCTTGATCACAAAAAGCTAGTATTTTTTTTAAACCTGAAGCAATTCCTTTCCTCTACTTAAACCTCTCCAAAACTTCCTATATTTTTTGGAATAAAATCCTATGCATGGCTTGCAAGGAATACATACCCCTTATGATCCGCCCCACTATCTCCTAACTTTTTTAACATACTTGGTTACTACTTTTGCCCCATCCATGGAGATGACATTTCAATTCCCAAAGCACACCCAAAGCAATTCAGACAAGCCCTTCACATGTGCTGGTGCCTCCACCCAGAGTGGTTCCCTGAGTAACCACAAGGCAGACTCTTATTTCTTTTGAGTTTCTTCTGGAAAGTCACTTTATTAGAGGGATCCTTAGTGACTGTCCTTTCCAATAAATATTCCCATCCTTAACTCTCCACCCAGTTGACTTCATAGTACTAAGCACCTTGTCACATACTCTATTTTTTTTTTATAATTACTTGTTTTAATATCTACTTTACCCTAGAACTTTCTGAAAGCAAGATCTTTGTTTTATTCTCTGCTGTAACTACAGTGTCCAAAATAAGGATATCTGTTGAATTAATATCTGATGAATGAATAAATTTTTCCTATTTCATCAAGCAGCATGAACAGTATATATGTCTTTTGGGGGGAAATAATTTCTTTGTAGTCGACATTATTCTCATGTTTTCTACTCTGTACTCTCATATTAAGACTCAGAATTGAGACCTTTAAATATTAGAGGAGAGCGGTGTGTCAGAATTGGTATTCAGAAGTCATTGGCTCGTAAACATGTAAATTTTCAAAATTGGTAGCAATTTAGAATGCACCCCTTAACTACAAATGATGGTTTCTACCTATTTCTGCCCTTTTTATAGATGGCCAGAATATCTTTCCTTATAGTTTTTGTTTGGATCATTGTTAACAGTTTACTTATTGAAACTTCAAAACATCAAAATCATTCAGTAGAGGGAAATAACAGTTTGAGGATTAAAAGAGTCTTACAGTTGTCTACAATGATCTTCCTAGAGGGTTAGTCAATTCATCAGATAATTTTCAGTGATAGAACATTAAGTACACCTTAAGGCTATCAAGTTGGGTTTTGAATGGATTTTCCTCAGGTTAAATAAATCTTCATCTAGTTTACTTATACATATCATTCTTAGCTTCTATAATTCACAGACCAAAGAATAAACTAGACGATAAAAGAAATGTAGAAAAATATGGGGGTGGGTATAGAAAATGAAACTTTTCCACTGGAACATTCCTATCTTTCCAGTTTCACTGCACATAGAGAGAGATTTATCTGATTCCAAGAAAACTAGGAGGAAGAATGCCACATCAACTTATGCAGAAACACGCACAGGAATTTGTATTCGCTACTTGATCTTTATCAAAGAATGTATTGGTCAGTATTGCTATGTAACAACTCATCCTCCCATGTAGCGGCTTACCCCAACTCCATTTCTTATTTCCCATAAGATACCTATGGATTAGGTTGGTAGTTACACTGATCTTTACTGGACCTTTGAGTGCCAGCCGTTTACTGGTGGATATTCTGGGAGCTGGCTGGTCAAAGGTGCTCCCTATTGGAAAGAAAGGTTTCCTTCCTGTGTCTCTCCCATGCATTCAGCTGAGCAGCAGGGTACCTTCCCTAGCTGTGGCAAGTTTCCAAGAGAGGAAATAGAAATTTGCAAGCACTTTTCAAGCTTCTTTTTTGCTTCATGTTTGTGGTTGTCTTCTTTTGCCATATGACTGAGCATCGAGTCAGAGGGAGAGAACATTGCAAAGTTAGAAAAGAGTCTGGATTGAGGCCATCCGTGTAATCAATCCACCCCAGAATAAAAGCACTGGAGAAGAGGGTTGGACGTGGAGACTAAATACAAAGGAAGGGGGTGAAAGGAAGGAAAGAGAGGGAGAAAACAAAATCAGAATGAAAGATGAAGAGAGGTAAAAAGGTGGAATGCCTAATCTGAAGGGAGGACACAGTGCTGGGAAGGTTATAGGAGCAAAGAAATAGGATCTGAAAAATAAGGTCTGGGGTAGACACATGGCATTCATAACAGCATAATAGTGTTTTTCAAGTGATGCTAATATAAGCCCAAATTCTGTTATGAAAATTGGATAAAAGGAAATATAACAAATTATTGCAGAGTAATCTGGTAAAGTATTCTGTAACTTGCAAAGGAAAACTATAGTCGTAGTGCTGGAGAATGAAAGCCAGTGATAAATACCAGTAACAAAGCTTTCATACTTGTTTCTGAGCAGGCATTCAGGAACAGTATCCTAACCATTGAATGACTTTGTTTTATTAGGATGAATAAAATATAACTTGGGATTTTTTTTTTATGTATGCCTTTCTATCCTTTTGTCTTTTCTTCCTTAAATGAGAGTCTGACTTATAAATATAAGTTAGATTTATATCAGCACTCCTGAATCTGTAACAATCTAATACCTCTGTTCATCAGTTTTCTGTTACTGTAACAAAATATCTGAGATAATTAACTTAAAAAATAGGTTTATTTTGAAACACAGTTTGGAGTTTCCAGTCCAAGATAAGATGGACTCATTGCTTTGGGCCTCTAAAGGGAATGCCAGATGGCAATGGGGAGGAGCATGTGGTACAGCCAGATTACCTAGCTCATCAATGAGGATGTAAAAGGGAAGAAGAGTCAGAGTCCCACAATTTCCTTGGATGGAAGGCACCAAATGACCTGAGGATCTCCATTAGGCCCTATGTCCTAAAGGTTCTAACACCTCTCAATATTGTCACCCTGGAAACCCAGCCTTTAACACATGGACTTTGGGTGGATGTTCCTTATCCAAACTATAGGAATAACCATTAAGAGGGAGAGTACATCTATTAAGGTTGAGTGTGGTTTAGTAAGCGACTACATAAAGTATATCAGGCTTTGGTTTAGCAGACGGATTTTTAGGGACATAAATCTTTGGTTGATTTTGTTTTGTATGTTTCTGTTGTGCAAATATCAGAATATTTCTGGATGTTGATTAAAACTGGGGATACTGAGATGAAATTTATGATACTTTACCATTTTTAAAGAGAGGATCGAAATAGTACAAACAGGGAAACTATTATTTTCCATTAATTTATTTCAAAATAATTCCACACATTTCAGAAGCAGTAAAATTTCTTCTTAATTTGTCAAATCTAACAAAATAGCCCTTTTGCAATTTCATGATATCACCAGGTGAAATGAGCAATGTGGTCTTTATTATATCTGTCTTCCAACTCAGCTCCCTTCCTTCCTGGTGCTATGCTGTTGATGATGGCTTGTAGGACAATGGCTGATCAAACATGTTCTTTGATGAATTACCCACAGATGGCCCACAATATGCTTTTGCAACATAAAAAAATGGTGCATTTATTCTTCAGATTTTCTCTCTTGTCCGTTTACTTATTGAAGATGGTTTTATTACCATTTTTATTTCTATAAAACTGGTAGTAAAGAGAGTAATCCTATTTTCAGTGGAATCTTCTCTTCATCTAGGAAATAGGCTCCACAAGGGTGTATCATTTATTAACTATTGCATCATTTTTGGTATATGATCAATGTTTCCTAACTTTTCAAATGAAGTGTATGTCATATTCAGACTTTTGATTCTCTTAATGATTCAAATTTAGGTAATGTGACCTTGAGATGTCTCACTTAGTTTTTCCTAAGTGTTTCAACAAGACTGGATAAACTCAACATCCATCCACATTCACTAAACTTAACGATTTAAGTCAATAATGTATCATATGGGACTTCTATAATACGGTAATCAATGATGATATTCTTTAGTATATATTCAGTAGTGTACTTACATCATTTGTTCTAGGTTTTAAGTCTAGAACTCCACGTGTAAATAAGATCTTAGTTTAAACTACATGAAAATAAACATGAAATAAAATCAATTAGGAAAACAATTAGTAAGAGAAGAATCTCTATTCTTGACATTATAGCCAACACCAAATGCTTTCATGGTTTAACTCTTTGTGTGGTAAGTTTGTAGCATGGAGAATCAGTTAAATTGGTTGAAAATCTATGGTTTTCCATCTCAAGCAACCATCTCTAGGTCTAGGAACTCTCTTGTCTCTAACTCATCAAATGTCTCTAAATTGATGTTACCTTGAGGCATCATATATCTGTCTTCTGTGTTTCCTGCTCCTCCTCTACTCCCTCATCTCTGTCACCCAATTTTGTGCGTGGAGCAAGATGATCCCACTCCGAATGCCTAAAGGAAATTCAGGTCTAACACAAGTAATCTGCTTTGTCTTTTCCAGATTCCTGTCTTGGTCACACAGATAAGTTCAACCAATCATCCCGTGAAAGTGGGGCTGTCTGACGCTTTTGTCGTTGTCCACAGGATCCAACAAATCCCCAGTATGTAGAAGAAGGGTAATTGCAAAGTGTGAGCCTTCTGTGAGGGTAAATTATAAGAAAATTGAACTCAGGCAGATGTAACTGGACCAAAAAAAAAAAAAATCACTTAGCTAATTGCTGCTTGTTAATTATACTGTGTAGTTTATAACTCCTATTGGGTTTGGCTATCTCCATTACCCTTGAACTAATAAATATAGGTGAGTAGGAATTGAATAGCTCAGGCAAGAATGGGCACTTTTGGATTCTTTGAGATAGTTGGCTGGGTTGAGCAGAGATAGTTCTTTTATCAACTAATAACTATAACAGTGACAGATTATTTGATTGATAGGTCTATGATTTTCTATGTTTATTTATTTATTTAAAATAAGTTGATGAGAAGAAAATCAACTTTGGGCTATTGTGTATTTAACTAGTTTAAGACTGTTTGAGAGATTAAAGGAAAATGAAATAATAAGTATAAATTTAAGTAAATGAAAGTTTGAGTGAAGTTAGACCTACCAGAAAAGACATGTGACATGTATCCTCCCCTCTTAAATCATTCTTACCTATCTAGTCTAGTTTATATGTTGTAGAATTAAAATGTATGTGTTATTTTGGACAACCGTTCATGATGTTAGAAAATCATGTTGCTTGGTGTCCAGATCTGTGGTAGAGAAAATTCTCCTCATGTAGGACACCCTGAGTTCATCCCCAACACCAAAAGAGAGGGAGGGATGGAGGGAGGATAGAAAAAAGGAAGGAAAATGTCAAAATGTGAACTGCATTTCGTAGCTATTCTGACTGTGTAAATAGCTATCTTTTGAAACCATCTCAGTTTTTTCAACCTCCTTTACTTCCAGAACAGTACTGAAGAATGCTCAGGGTGTTAGTACTGGGATTTTTGTTTATTTGGGTCCTAAATGTGCTTATTTAAAAGCAACGGGCGATAAAATATATCCCAAGATTAGATCATTTCTTTCCCTTTTGTTCAAAAGATCTTTTCTTCTTTTATTTCATTATAGCCGTAGACTCAATTTATCACATGCGTATGCTGTTCGGTCTTGACTTGAGCTGATTCTGCTTAATTATGTCATCTCTCAAACACAGAAAGTAAATGGGGTGGAAACTAGACTTTTCAGAGCGATGGATTGGCTGGAAATGTTATAAGGGCTATCTAAGTTAAGAATGGCATTCAGATATGAACGTGCATCTTCTTTGGTGTTTCCCCTTGTTAGCTTAGAATTTGTGGGAGGTAATATCCAAGGGAATTGTTAAATTGAGGCAGATTTTCCAGAAACTAAATTGCATGGAGTACAAAACAAGGATATATTAGTATGTGCAGGCAACATAAAGGCATCCTGACAGAGCTCTTAAATAAGAGGCTGAGCCCTGGGAGAGCCAAGGTTGGCTTCTGTTTGGGGAGGAGTGTTCTCACATTCTTCCATTCAGAGGTGTTAAATCAAGCATGACTTGAGTCAATTATTGCACAAGAGAAAGGAAACACTAGTTTTAGTTTATTTGTTGGTTCTTTCTATGCCGGGAAGAATTTTATTTGTAGCTTGCTCAGAAAGTATTTTATTCCACATTTGCTATCTTGATGTATTATTGTTGAGAGAGGGGGAAAAAAACAGCAAAGTACAAGATAATTTTTAACAAATATATTTTAATATGGAAGTTTTATGTGTGTTCTCTGGGATAAAACTGTACTTAGAAGTCAAGGTTTCAAAATGCAAATTTTGGATGCTTTGTTTTGCTGTAAAAGGATAACTGTTAAATTTTAGGGAAAAAATATCTTCCCAAATGTAAATTTTATCATATAAATCAGCAAAATTCATATGAATTTTGATACTAGATTATGTCTAACATTCAGGACTCAGCATTCAACTTAAAAGATTACTGGGACTTGAATTCAGAGAAAATCTTCTCTCAGATATTTTTGTTTGCTTAGGATGGAATTCATATTTCCTATTGACCTTACTATTCAATCCTGAGAAAATTAGCCAAGAAGGAAAGGAAATTCTGAGTCTCTGATGCTCCCCTCTCTGCCATTAGATGAGACCATATTGAATCAAGAAAATTAGAATTGATGTGTTCTACTTAAAATTCACTTCAGGAACAGAAAATTTTAATCTCCCTAAAAACCTGTTCCCACTTCAAAAAGTGCAACAGTGTCTGTTATATGAGCTTCTGTGTAAGAGGAGAAATATATTGCATTGAATTCTCACCTAAAAAGAAAAAAAAAATTATTTATGCCAGAAATTTGGATAACCCCAGGTTGGTATAATACAAGTTATTATTTTTTTTCTTGAGAAATAAGATGACTAGATATCTGTATGTTCTTATTTGTACAATTAGAACTTAAGGAAATATTTAAGTTCTTTCCAACATTCTGTTCACATTTCACAACTGTTGCTATTTCAAGTAGCCCTTGCAGGGAATTTAAATATTTTTATTTTTGTTATGAATTTTTCTTTCTCTTTCCCTGAGTGGATTTAGGGAACAGTAGACCATTAGGCAAGTAATGGGCAATCTCATTTCTTCTGTATTCCAAGAAGCATTGCATTGAATCTGATTCTCATAAGATCAATTTTCTGTCCTTTTAACTATTTTAGTTACATGGGGTATAGAACCCAGGATTTTGGTACAACCAAGCCATGACAGCATGAAAATGTGGGTCACAGCATTGAGACTAATTTTTCTCAATGGAATCATCATTACTATACCATTCTTATCAGATTTGGTGAAGATTTGATCAAGCAGTCAATAAGCTGTAAATGTTTTTATTTATTTATAACTAAGCTTTATCCCTACCCATCATCATCATCAACAACAGCAAAAACTTCATTTTTTTTCTTTAGTTTTTAATGGCTTCCAAGCTGGGTGCCATGAGCATGCAGGAAATCCCCACTTGGGAGGCTGAGGCAGGAGGATCATGAGTTCCATGCCAGCCTCAGCAACTTAGCAAACTGCTAAGCAACTCATTGAGACCCTGTCTCTAAATAAAATACAAAAAAAAGGGCTGAGGATGTGGCTCAGTGGTTAATTGACCCTAAGTTCAATTCCCAGTACCAAAACAAAACAAAACAAAAAAAAACTTCCAAATTATAAATTGTTTCAGTTAACTTTTTGAGCATAATTAATTAAAGTGGCTGGTTTTCTATCCAATAAGTTCATGAGTTTTTAGTAAACTGATAAATAGTTCCAAAGTTATAAGGAAAATTATTCACTCTTTCCTCTTCCCCCCAAATTAAAAAGCATATGGTAAAATCAATATTTATAATTAAAAAAATCAAATGAAAGATAAAATGTATAAGGGATGTTGTAATGTGAATATTGGTCATGAGGCCCTGAATTTATTATTTAATTCCTACAATTCTCTTTATTTGTATAATGAGCATCTTGGTACCTAATACAGTGTGTGTTGAGTCTGCAGCAACTGACACAAAGTAATCAGTGTGCTTGGACGTGGCGAGCAGTGCTCTTTCCCCCATTATCAGCATCACTTTAGGTGACAGTAATAATGACAGATGTCATCACCCAGCCTGGGTGCCCTTTGGAGTGGGCCCACAAGGAATTTCCAAAATATCACTTGGACTCAGTGTCAAGAGGGAACTCTCAGTTGGTCTGATTATGACATTGTGTAGGTTTTTTTGTTTTTGTTTTTGTTTTTTTAGTGTCTCCTTGTAACTTTAGTATGTTTCTGCAGTGTGGTCTTGTGCCTCTAAATCACTTTCTGTTTTTCATAAAATATTTCTGTGATACTTTAGGGACAGAAAAATATCCCAGAAATCAGTTGTTTCAATCTCTACAGAAACATATAGAAAAAGAGTCTCCATGTAATGCCTTCAGTTATTCATTTCAGAAATATGAATATAAATGTATATTTAATACCATTAGAAACATAGTGCATTTTAATTCAGGGGAATTTAAAAATAATGGAAAACATAAAGAAGAAAAAAGAAGATATACTAAAAAAGAGTTAACAATATTTTCATGTATCTGTGTCTTGTTTTTCATTTACAGTATTCATGCACACAAAGAAAAGTGGCATTATGCTATAAATATTTTTGTAGCCTGTTTTTCCCTTAAAATATACAACACTTTTTTTTCTACACTGTTAAATATTTGTCTAAAATATATTTTGGGGAGGGTACCAGGATTGAACCCAGGGGCAGTTGACCACTAAGCCACATCACCAGCCCTATTTTGTATTTTATTTAGAGACAGGGTCTCACTCAGTTGCTTAGTGCCTCGCTATTGCTGAGGCTGACTTTGAACTTGTGATTCTCCTGCCTCAACTTCCCGAGCCACTGGGATTACAGGTGTGAGCCACTGTGCCTGACAATTTTTATAAAATATTAATAGCTACAACAAATCCCTTTATTCATAATATATGTAAACTTTTCCTTCACTAATTGGTCTATATATTATTTCTCATAATAATTTAACAATGCTGAGCATTCTTGTTTATAAATTTTTACATGTATTTGATTCTTCAAAAAGAATTTGTAGATGTTTAGTGCTGATAGTGTTTTGTATGTATTTGACAAACTGTTTTATGTAAATGTACCAATAACCTCTCCTATGAGCATTATATGAAATACCCCTTTTCAGATAATATCATTTTTTAAACTTTGAAAATTTGATAAGCAGTACTTAGTATTGCATTGTTGCTCTAATTGTCTTTTGATTGCCAGAAACTTTTAATATTTTCATATAGTCATAGATCATTTATACTTTTCATAACGTTTGTTAAATAGCTAGCCTTAAGAAATTCCTTCTCAGTCTCAGCTTATGTCCTTTCAAATCCTTTTGCGCATACTGCAGAGTTCTTTCCGGATACAAGCATGATTCTTCCTAGTACCACTTAGGTCTCTCCTTCAATTTAGTATTTTGAATTCTAACCTCTAGGTGCTGAGTGAACTTCCACATCATATCGCCATGATTTCTCTACCCTCTGAGCTTAATGAGCATAGCATTTCCAGCAAGAAACCCTTAAAATCTATGCCATGTGGTTCTTC